ATCCTGTTAGCAGCTGTCTTACAATGTGACCTCCAAACAAATGCATTCAGTGTGTTGGACATCTGATTGTTTTATGGAGAAAGGGGATAATTTCTCAGCCTTGAATTATGGAAGTTTGATTATTTGCTTTAGGTTTTTCATGTTTATTAAAAATCTGAATTTTCAGAAACATGACAAAACTTTGTGGGAACTTTATAAAAATGAATAAAAGAGACAGTTAGGGATTTAGAGTAGCTACCAGGACAGTTCTATTGGAAGATGACACTAAGATTCTGAAAAAGATGGGCTGGTACAATGCTAAAGCATTTAGAATCCCTTTCTTAGACATATTGAAATTCCTTTTCAAAATTTTTTCTCTGCCTCTTATTATATTTTAAGAAGGGGCTATGACTATGCGTCAGAACCAGTAGGATTTCATTAGAGCATGCTTCAGAATTGGCTGTGATGACAGTTGCTCTAGATATTTCTATGCCCCCTCACCTTTTCCAGCTACTTCATACTTTAGTTTTCCTAATCACAGTAAGCACTCCTTACCATCTAAGGCCACTTGTTTGTGTCCTACTTTAACATGTCTCTGGGTTCTCTACCCCATACCTGCCATCACTCACATTAGACTACCTCACTCGTGCCGTTTCCTTAAAGATGGATGAACTCCCGGCTGCAACTGCTTGTACACACATCAGTTGGTCTCTCTGTCTCTATCTCCCTGTTTCTCACTCTCTTACTCTCACACACTCTTTCTCCCTCTTTCTTTCCCTCTCTTTCCTCTCTCTGTCTCTCTGTCTGGCTCTGTCTATCTCTGTCGCTCTCTCTCTCTAGAGTGTGTGTGTGTGTGTGAGAGAGAGAGAGAGAGAGAGAGAGAGAGAGAGAGAGAGAGGTACTACTTATGTATGTATTTCATCTCTAAGAGACTTTCAGCTCCTTAAGGGAAGGAACAATGACTTACTCACTGTGTAATCCTCCATTACAGAAAGAAGGCCCAGCAACTAGAATATATTTACAGATTTGAGGAGCTCAAAGAAGAATGTTTGTCCTTTTCTACACCTTTCTTACTTAGCCCTAGTTTCTGTGTTTTAAAATATATTTCTCTAAAATCTAAGGCAAAAGATAATAATAATCACTTGCTCCCATTAGTTATATTTAACATTTCTCAGTACATATGGAGAATGTGTATCTCAGTTTATTATAAAAAATAATGTAGAATACTGATTCTAAGGAATGCTGCCAACAAACCACTGATTTTATTTAGTATGTGTGATTATAAATAAATACATTTTGATGGTTGTCAGGGAAACACATTTATGTAGGAGAATGTTATCAACTGTCTCTAGGTATAAAGAGATATTGAAACAGTGATAGGTATAAAAAATTCTCTAGTTTCCTTTGAACAGTTCACATGGAAAAAATTTAATCTACAATGTGGACTAAACTCTTAAGATATTTAAAGTGAAAACTGCAGAATTGTGGGGATAAAAAAATCAGATACTAAATGTTAACAGTACCTGCTTTTGTAGCTTCAATTTTTAGAAATGCATTTGTGTGGGGGCTATGGTGTATGTTTATAGTGAGTTCACATCAGCATGGGGATATATGCACCTGTGGCCAGAGAGGACATCAGGTGTCTGTATTGTTCTGTCTTAATGCCTTGAGACTGGGTCTCTCTGAACCCTAGAGCAACTTCAGCTAAGCAGGCTGGTAAGTGAGCTCTCAAGAGCTACCTGTTTCTACCTTCCAATGGGGGGATTGCAGGTACATGTAGCCATGCTGACTTTTAACCAGGTGGCAGGGATTTGAACTCAGCTTTTATTCTTGTGATACAGGAGCCATGACCCGTCTCCTCATCCTTGCTTTGGTAGTTTTTACGGTGCTGATTTATCTTGACTGGCCTGCATTAAGATGTAGTAGCAGATTCTCTGGATATGTAGATACTCAATCCTTTCAAAAAATCATGGTCAATAATCTTCATAAAGATTTATTACATCCCAAATAGCCTATTTGAGGACTTTGTAAGGGGAATGAAGCCCATCTGAGCTGCTTTGTAAATATGGCCTGAGCTAACTCCACACACATTTTTAGTGCCATTCATTACAATTTTTTCCCTCAGCTAAGAACTTCAAGGCTCTTTGTTGGCTTATAGATATGCAGTTATTATTCTACTACAGAGAGGTTTGCAAAATCCAGTTCCATCAAAACATCTCCTGATTTTTTTTTTTACTTTTATCTGCATTTATTTTATGCTGAATTTATTCCTGTGCCATAAGTTTTTGTTTCTTCAGTTTCTTTTGGGATATCTTTTTCTTCTATGCAACCTCCTCTTCTGGCTTTGGGACAATCTGTTCCTTTTCCGTGAGGATCATTTCGATGTGGCAGGGGGAGCTCATGTTTGGGTTAATCCAGCCGTGAGCTTTGTAAGTTCGGCGACGCATCTTAGGTGCTTTGTTCACCTGGATGTGTTCGATGACCAGAGAATCCACGTCTAGACCCTTAAGCTCAGCATTACTCTGCATTTTTAAGCATGTGCAGCAAAAATTCAGCATTCTTTTTCAGCCACCGGCCCTGTGTCCAGCCCCACGGTTTGGCCTGGGCCACCTCCCGACTCCACCATTGTATGACCGGAATGGCACACATTGCTTCTTCAATGTGACATCTTTCAGGTATTTGTTGGGTTAATCCAGCCGTGAGCTTTGTAAGTTCGGCGACGCATCTTAGGTGCTTTGTTCACCTGGATGTGTTCGATGACCAGAGAATCCACGTCTAGACCCTTAAGCTCAGCATTACTCTCTGCATTTTTAAGCATGTGCAGCAAAAATTCAGCATTCTTTTTCGGCCACCGGCCCTGTGTCCAGCCCCACGGTTTGGCCTGGGCGCACCTCCCGACTCCACCATTGTATGACCAGAATGGCACACATTGCTTCTTCAATGTGACATCTTTCAGGTATTTGGTGGCTTTTCGGATATGCATACCCTTGATGGCCTGGGCAGTTTCATGGGTATTCTTAAAGTGAACCCGGAGATTTGAACCTCTTGACTTGCATGGTTTTGTAGGGTCTTCTGGGTCAAGAGAGTAGCAAACCATCTTCACAGGTTACCTCAGGTCGCTTATAGGAAGAGGCATCTCCTGATTTTTTAGCCCTTTTCTTTTGTCAAGTTAACCACAGTTCAAAAACCCAAATAATTAATATTCACATCTGTAGGTCTCATTTGAACTTATTTCAACTGGGCATAACCATAACACTTTCTTGCATATCAATATTGGGCCAAAATCTGGTAGGTATTAGGTGGACTTCATTTGGATGATTTATTTGACAATTGGAGATTAAGAGAACAAATTGAATTAAGAGTATGTGTTTTGTGTTTGCATGTGTGTGGGTGGATATGTATGCATGGATGTCCATGGGTGTGTGTGCGCGTGTGTGAATGTGTGCATGGGTCTCGTGGTGGGAGTGAGGGTAGTGGCTTGAAGAGGTAGTTGGGAGAACTACTGGAGGAGATGAAAACACTGTAATTGCTTTACAAGACTCCAAGTTTATCTTTGCTTGTCTAAGGGTTTCCTGTGCTCAGCGCAGAACTGGAGAATAGCATCAGTAAAGGAATTTGTCAGAGCCAGGTTTGATATCCAGAGTTATATAGGAAAATAGTAACATACCCTAGAAAAATAAATAAGGATTGGTTCAAGAAACCTAGCTGAAACAGCTGTTCTGGTAAGATGTGAATAATAAAATTCCTAGTCATATTTTGCCATAAATAGAGGTTTAGAAATTTGTCATTTACCTCTTTTAGAATTCAGAAATATTAAAGGTACAGGTTCTCTCATTATAGAAATAATAGAATTTCAGCTATTACCGAGTTAGGGTCGTTTAAACGGAGACAGCATGCATTATATCAGTAAGTGGGACATCTGTATGGAATGTCCACCTGCTGATCAGCTACTCCTACTCCATGCACAATTCAGTGAACAGCACTTAATCATCTTAAGACTTCTTCTAATGAAGCCTTATCTAGATTAACATTTTAAGCACAAATACTTTCAGGCATTAAAACCCTCACGCTAAATGAAATTGCATTGTCTTGTTTACCCTTGTTGATTAATAAGCAATCTGCTAACTGTTGGAACAGTCCAATTGTGGCAGTAGAAGGAGATTAGTAATTCAGTGATGTTTGTGGGTATAACCATCATTTCTCCTGAAGGCTTTGAATTAGAATATCACTTACACACTATCCGTAGGCAAAGAAAGGATATAATATTTTTTAGACATGTGTACCCACTATTTTGTTTCAGTCGTTCAGCTTAGGGTCAGCACAGCAATACAAATGCTTCTGAGAGGCAAAATGCAATTTTGATGCATGCATATCCTCTTTAAATGGTGTGGGTGTCTATTAAAATAAACAGAGCAACCAGCAAATTGTGCAGTAATAACCCAGTATCTTGATTTCTGTTTTAGGAACATTATTGCTTTGTTAATCAAGCATTGGAAGAGAAATATTGCCCACTGTTTTTTTAGATAATAGAGTTTACACATGAAAATTCTTTCCAGCATATTTATTTTTGCCAATAAAATACTGAACTTTTTCCCTCCAAAGAATCTAGGGATACACTTAGAAGAATAATTGCATTTGGGGGAGGCTTTTTTATTTGTTGTGTTTCCTTTGACCTTGAGCCAACAGCTTCAGTCTGTTTGTCCGCAATTCATATGACTTAAGTGATTTTTTTCAGCATGTGAAAGATTGCTAATACCTGGGTGTCAAGGCAAGATCTTGACATTTTGGAAAGCTAAATCAGTAGAAAGGGAAACAGGAAACAGGCTCCTATTTCCCAGCATTCATCAGCTATGTATTGGAGGCTACCAATCTCAAGGAAACTGTAGGTCCCTTCTTCTTGCCCTACTTTTCGAAGCTAAGCACATCCCTACAATGTGAAATTGTGGTGGAAGTGATTATCTCATGTTTTCAGAAAGTCAGTCTTACAAACACATAGAAACTGGTCTTTTTCTTTATCGCAGTCCCTCTGCCATGAGATCAAGCAGCGCCGTAGAGGGGTGGCCTCCATTCTGCGGTTGTGCCAGCACCTTCTTGATGACCGGGACACCTGCAATCTGAATGCGGACCACCAACCCATGCAGCTGATCATTGTAAACCTTGAAAGAAGGTGGGAAGCCATCGTCATGCAAGCTGTCCAGTGGCAAACACGGCTACAAAAGAAGATGGGAAAAGAATCTGTGAGTATCATTCCCCAGCAGAGTTGGCTCTCTTCTTTTGACACCCACCCCTAGGCTTGGGCAGTATGTTCATTGTGTAAGTTTCCTTGCAAACTAGAGCCATAACCATCCACTAACCAAAACTCCATTCATCATAACAGAAAGTTACTCACTTTACTGGCATGCATTTTAGTGCATCTTATTGTCTTTTTTTTTTTTTAAGAAATTACATATACATTTTGGCTACTCTTACCACTGAGGATATTAAATCTTCCATTTATTCCTGAATGGAATACATCTTCACCAAGCACACAATACTCCATGTTTATTTTGCTAGGAGGTAGAGTACTACCTGCGACCATGGAGCAGTGTGTGTGCTCTGTATACAGTTTCATTGCTTGAATATCTATTGTTTGTCTTTCTGTTTAATGAGGGGTTAACGCCATCTGTACACCTGTCCCCATCGGTCCTGCTTCCAGTGTCTTCTAATAGATTACTGAGAACTGTCAAGTTTCCTCCTAGAGTTTAATGTAGTGTTCATAGTAGGGGGTAGTGATTCCCATTAACAATTTTCCCTTCTGAGAGTGTAGGTTTCAGCAGTTGCTGGGAGAAAGAAATATATAAGAGTAGAAGCTGTATTGTTATAATATAGAATACACATTTGCTCTGAGAGCCTTCACATTCTTAGGAGAAAGAAACTGTCACTGAAAAGATAATATCCCTGAAGTGACCTTGACATCAGTGTCTATTAGTTGTAGAGCCACTTTTCACATTTGACTTACATAAGTCAACACACATATAGAGTGGGGTTATACATACATACATACATACATACATACATACATACATACATACATAATACTTCCATATACACTACATGTTTAGAAAGTTCACAATGCAAAGAAAGGAACCAAATGTAAAAATTCTTGTCATGGAAAATAATTTCCACATACAAATTCTATTCTTAACAAAGCCTTAGTATTTATTTTTCTGGTGTGTTTTATAGTAGGGACTCTGGGGAGGAAGGCATTGAATCACGAAACCTACCTGCTCCTTTTGCCCTTGTGGCTGTCCTGGAGTCTAGGAGGTGATTTCTCTCACCAGTTCTGTTCAATTGATCTTAGCTGAAGTTGTTGCATTTCTTAAGACTTCCAAATTACATCAGTAACCAGAGTCAACATAATTGGGCATAATTTCCTTCCTTCCTTCCTTCCTTCCTTCCTTCCTTCCTTCCTTCCTTCCTCCCTCCCTCCCTTCCTTCCTTTCTTCCTTTCTTTCTTTCTTCCTTTTTTTGGTTTTTGGTTTTTTGAGACAGGGTTTCACTGTGTAGTCCTGTTGTCCTGGAACTCACTCTGTAGAACAGGCTGGCCTCGAACTCAGAGATCTGCCTGCCTATGTCCCAGAGTGCTGGGATTAAAGGTGTGCACCACCACTGCCTGGAAGGGTGTCTTTTCTTGAAATAATTTGTTTGTTGTGAAACTGTTTAACATCTTTTCTTCTTCCCTCCTTTCCTCCCTCCCTCCCTCCCTCCCTCCCTCTCTCCTCTTCTTCTTTTTGATAATGTTTGTAAAGGTTGTTATCCTTTCTCTACTTTGTAGTGATGATAGTGAGACTCAGCACCATGGGCAGTAGGAAAAGTTATGGCATTTTTAGAGCATTCAGCTGGTTTGGCAAAGGCAAAACTGATTCTCTTTCATGAATTATATGATCAGGAATGCTGGATTGGGCTCTACAAAGTAGATGTAGGGAATGGATGTTTGCTTGTGTGTGTGTGTGTGTGTGTGTGTGTGTGTGTGTGTGTGGTCAGAAGTGCCTGCGAGTGTGATATATGAGGATTTGTGCATGTGTGTATGCAGGTAAGAGTGATGTAGGAAGGCCAGAAGAGGACGACTCTCTTCTTCCCTTGATGCAGGGTCTCATAGACTCTAGAGCTAAGTTGGCAATCAGCAAGCCCCAGTGAGCCTTCCGTTTCTAACCCTCACAGTACTGGGGTTATAGGCAGGGCCCACTGTTACATGTGTGCTGGGGATCTAAACTCGGGTCCTCTTGCTTGCACAGCAAACACTCTCTTGTCTGCTGAGCCATTTCCCAATCCTCTGATTTGTTTTACTTATGTCTATAGTAAAGGCAGGTTGCTTCTTGGAAGCTTGAACTACTCAAGAGAGGTTATATAAATTGCAGAGAAAAAAGTCTCACCTAATCAGGGGACTTGGAATGATGAGGGTAGCAAATAAGGATGCTAGTGATAAAAACAGGCTGGAAGTTACTCTCAGGAAAGAAGTGGAGAAACTGAGAGTGGACTGAGGCTAACAACAGGGTGAATGCAGGGGATTGTTGTGTTGGGGGTATTTCTCTGCTTCTGGCCCTGCTGTTGAGTGAGGAGTAGAAGTTGCTTTTATCATCAAGTAAGTATTTCAATAATGTAGGAGATGACCTTTGCCAGGAGTCAAAAGTCTACAAGTGGCCTGCTTAGTTGTAAATCATGTGCCTCCACCCCCATCTCCTGACTGTGCATAAGGATTTCTACTACTATATTTCCAAGACTTGCAATACATTTTGCATATATAAGCTATTGATAAATATTTCCTGAATAAGTGAGTACATGATTTTTAGTAAATTTCTTTCATTCAGGCATTGGTATACCTATGTACTACACCTAAACTAATTCTAAGTATTCATCATTTTACAAAAGACATCATCCTACTTTTGAGAGTCATTATATTTCTCTAAGAATACCTTTGTAAGAATACTTCTTTTCTTATCTAACGAGGCTTTCATAGGCTCCTTGGTTTATGTTCTCAGTCTAAGGACATTTCCAGGCACTGCATGAGATTTTGGGAGGCCACAGTGGCTAATTTGCTGTAAGTCTTCAGTGTGCCTGGGAGCAGAGGGCTCCACAGTCAGGAAGCTCCAGAGCTAAACCAAGTTATCTTCTGAGGTCTCCAGCAGAAGGAACATACTGAAAATTTTGAAGAAAACAATTTGTGGAGCTTCTAAGAAACTACAAATGTCCCCTTCCTATTCAGTCACATTAGAAAATGTCACTAACAAGAGTGTGATAGTTTATATCAGTTGTGAACTGGATGGGATCTTAACATCACCTGGGCAATGGGCCTCTGCATGTGCTTTATTTCTCCCAAAGACAGGGTTTCTCTGTATAGCCCTGGCTCTTCTGGAACTCACTCTGTAGACCAGGTGGGCCTTGTACTCAGTGATCTGTCTGCCTCTGCCTCCCACACACTGGGATTAAAGGCATATCCTACCACTGCTAGGCCTCTAGGCATACTTAGAGGAAGTTATCTTGATTAGGTTAACTGAGGTTAGGAAAGACCTACCCACTGTGGGTTGTGCCATTCTCTAGGCTAGGATCTTGGACTTTATAAAAAAGGATGAAGTAAACTGAACACTATTATTGCTCTCTGCTTCTTGACTTTGGGCACAATGGGATCATTCCCCTCAAGCTCCTACTGCCATGACTTCCCTGTGATCATGGGCAGTACTTGCAAACCATCAGCCAAAATATACCCTTTTCCCATTAATTTGCCTTTAACAGGTGTTTTGAGGTAACAACAAGAAAACTTCCTAATGCAGACAAGATCAAATTGATAAAAACCCAGTGGTGGAACATGTCTTCAAAGTAGCTAGAGGAGGAATAAGATTATTTTAAGAAGAGTGATTGCCAGGTTTTTTATCAGGAACAAGGGAAGCTGGAGATGGGAAAGGCGGAGCTGGAGATGAAGCTGCAATGTAAGAAAATAACCTAGAGTTTCCTTCACAGAGCAGACAGCATTCCAATAGGTAAAGAAATACAGTTTCTAAATGTCTGTAGTGAAAGTGCTCATTGCCCACATGCCTGTACTACTAGAAATGTTAAGGGAATGTCATCAACCAAACAAAACTTACATCCAATAGAAACTTAGATATGCAAAGGAATAAAGAACATGGAAATGATAACTGTGAGTAAATGGGAAGCACTCTCCCTATTATCTCAATCTCTTTAAGTGTTAATAGACTATTTAAATCAAGATAATAGCTGTGCATGGTAGGATTTATAGCACAGAGGATACAATGTACAACAACAGTATCACAAAGGCCAGGAAGCAGACATGCCATGATGCTTTGTACCATTTTTATTTTGTGTGAGGTACTAGAGCATTCTTTAAAGGGAGGCTGTGATAAGATCGAGTGTGTATATGCACCTGTAAAACCTTAAAGGTACAGTGAAACAAAAAGTAAGACACAAAAGGAAATGAAATAGGGTCATCCTTTATATCCCCATTTAAAGAAGAAAAAGAAAATAAGAAGCAGATGTAATAAGGCTTTAAAGACAAGGTGAAGATTGAACGTGACTGCATCAATAGTCCCAGTAAATGAAATGGACTGAAAACTACTTAAAAGAACTTAATTGTTAAATTGGATAAATTCTACCATACATTGCCTACCAAATAGTGGTAGAGTGTATATGTTAACATTAAACAAAGTAGAAAAAAAAAGCATCACAAGGTATAAAGAAGGACATTTCTTCATAATAGAAGTTCCAATTTACCATGAGAAGAAGACATTTCTAAATGTCTAGTACACCTTACAAATACACCATACAGAAAACCTACATTCCTGTGAAGAGACAAGAAAAACAGAAAATGGGACAGAAATCCCAACAGCCTGACTCAACAACTGATAGACCAGAAAAATCAGTAAGACCATAAGAAGACAAGAATGTTATTGTGGAGCAACATGACTTAATTGACAGCTAAAACACTTCAACCAAGTCTTATCAAAAAGGCAAGAAGGTACAGACAAAAGCTATCCCATTCACCACTGTACAAAGTTAATTTTTGCAACTGTGGGAGATGGTACAGAAGTTCTTGAAGTATTTGAAAATAGAAATATTGTATGACCCCACAATCTCTGTACTGGGTATAGACCATTCCCTCATTAAGGTACCTGTATATTCATGTCCTTCACAACATTATCTACCATAGTCAAGATATGGAAACCGAGATTATCCCTGGTGAATGAGT